TCAAAGCCCAACTCTCATGCCATTAGAAAGAGGATCATGAAAAACCTATAAAAAAATGGTTCATGAAATTTTAGTTCACTCATAAAGCTAAAGTCCGCCTGCTCTAGCAAAAAATGCCCACTGTGCCTTACCTCTGCTCTTCTCTACGAAGCGCCTAGCAGAAAGCACAATAACAGCAGCTGTATTCTTCGCTTTTTCCTTATTTTTCTCCTACCATTCTATGGGTATGCTCTCCACAATTCATTTCTAACCAGTGGTTTTGGTATTCGAACTATCAACTGTCACATCTCATCTTTTTGCCTAATCTGTGCTCAGTCTTAAAGCTTAAAAGCCGGAGGGGATTTTCTTGAGTATTGCAGAAAGCAGACCATGAACAGAGGCTCCGGATCTTCAGGATGATCATGATATATTCATAATAAAAAAATTCACGTCATTTATTATATACAGAATGTCCCTTGGAAGGGACATTCGGTCTTTAGAGCTCAACTTTTCCGGTATTCTCAAATTATGTAAAGAGAGGTTTTCTGTATAAATAATATTATTTCAGCATTTTTTTATCATTTCAAAGCTCATATTGACCAATGCCTTGTAATTCTTAAACATCAAGTCGCTCTCTTCTCCAATAAAATGCTCGTCTTTGAGGTCATCTCAACATCTCGTAATGGAATACACAAAAAAGGTGGCGGATATCGTTTGACTGCGCTATTAAGGACTGGGGCGCATAACATCACAAATCGACCCACGGGTGAATTTTTTGATTTGAGAGTCAGACAGCCCTGGAAGTCTGTCACCTCCCAAGCAGACAGAAATCGTCAAAAACGCGTGTTCACGCTGAAAATAGTCAGATAATGAGCGCTGAAACGCGTGTGAGATCAGTTGATTGTGCAAACATCAAGAACTGCCACCTTCTCAGTGTGAATGCGGTTAAAAAATGTCGATCCAACATAGTATCGCGTTTTACTCACCAACTATGCATAATAGTGTTTTTGTTGTTAAGAGACATTTGTTGGTGTCCGCGGGCAAAATTTTTCCTTCAATGTAAGTTTACAATAAATGGTTTCTGTACAGATAGAAAAACAAAACCCCCAGTCTCATGTGAAAATAATCCGAAAAACCTTCAATTCGGTGTTTGAAAACGTTGATCTTTCTTCAGAACCGTTTCGTCAATAATTCATTATTCCGCAAAAACGGAATAAACGTGTTAGCCACTCTCATAAACGTTTGCAGGGTATTTCGCTGATTTCTAGAACGGTAACCGTTTTTATTGCGACCCTTATTTTTTACAGTATACTGTCGGCGTTTTGTCTCATCGAAATACTCATTTTTTAGAGTTTTTATCATCTATTTTGATGCTGCGAATCTTTGTCGGTGTATTTTCCGGTTGTAGCCATTGCTATTTCTTATCGCTTTTAGATTATAATTGGACTTATTTAACAAAGACATTTTCTTTGGAAGACTGTTGTTCACATGTCAGTGAACGATTTGATAGGAATCTAGTGAATTTAACTTGGATCAAATGAGTAAAATTCTGTCAACTGATTTCAGAGATGTTCATTATTTTTTCGATGAAATGTATGTTTCTCTAGTCGATCGTCATCATTTTATTGATTGTTTAGTTTATAACCATGAAGTATCACATTGGACTGATCCAAATTATTGTCTAAATGGTGGAGAATGTTCAGAGAATAAATGGTTTGGATACATTCAACTCCTGTGTGTTTCTCCTGAATGTTATGATGAATTATTTTGTTAATTGACAATGACACAATATTCCCTCCCTCTTGATTCAACATCAGGTCAAGAAATTCTCACTGTTGTGCCATTTTACCAGCAGAATTTCTTTATTAAAATGAGGTTATCATATGAACATTAACAGTTTAAAAAGAAATCTTTTGACTACTTCCCCACCATCAAAAATGTTGAGAAGTAATTTAAACCAACCGGATCGTGAACCGTACGTCCAAATGATCATTACTTTTATGGGTGCTGTACCTCCTATGAATATTATTCGATTAAAATTAATTGAATTAAAAGTTCAGCACAAGTGTAATACTACATGTCGTTTCAATAACAAGAAAGAATTACTTATCTTTCCATCGGACGGTGTATCGGAACAGCAATTGATGAACAACATGCCACAATTCCTATTTGGCAATGATGTGAATTACTCAACTCGCTCACCTCGGAGTATTAACAAGACGTTTAGCATTGTATTGAAGAACGCTGACGGCACAATCGACGAAAAAGAATTGCTGAACGATATTCAAGCTATTGATAATGAAGTGACTGCAATTCATCGTATCAAAAATGCAGCATTAGATAAACCAACGTCACTAATGCGTATTGATTGTGCTACAGAAACGTGTCGTGATCGTTTATTAGCTATACGTAAATTAGTCGTCTCACCGTTGCATTTCCAATCGTCGAATACATTCCCCAACAAAGATTATTCGCTGTTACAAATGTCAAGGATTCGGACATTACGCACATAATTGTCTTAACCAGTTGAAATGCTCGAAATGTAGCGGTCCACATTCCATCGAAAAATGTGTTTCAACTACGATAACGTGCTCAATTGTGGCGGTGATCATCGGGCTACCTATTCGAGGTGTAAAGCTCGTTTATCTTCCATTAATGTTCTGAAAAGTAAACAATTTTCGAGTGTTGCTTCTGATACTTCACAACAACAAAGACAACAACCAACCTATTCTTCTGCTGTCTCTCATCGGACACAAGTATCAAATTCCTAAAATCAAAATGAATTAATTAATGATGAAGTATTGAAACAATTATCAGCGCTTGGACAAGTGGTACATTCATTAAAACGTGATATACAAATGTTAACTGATAACTTTAAATCTCAACTAATGTATTTTAATCAAATGATAAGTAACGTTCATATTCATCTGAATAAATTCGTGCAACAGTTGATACCAGTATTATTAAAAATGACAAAAAAATAACGAGATAAAAGGCGATATAAACAAATGTTTTAGAATAGATGATTTAGTCACGATTACGAAACCTGAAGTTTTTTGTTTAAGCGAAATTTTTCCCTTTGACGAAAAGCTGTTTATTAAATATTTCTCCGCGTACAATCATATTTTTAAAAATCGTACGAATGTAAAGGGCGGTGGTGTACTCATTGCGATCAAGAAACCTATTTCCTTTAAAATCATCAATCTACATTTTTCAGAAGAAGTACTCGGTGTTGAGTTTACAAAAGCATTCATTCCAAATTTAAATGCTTCACATATTATGCCTCATTTAACTTATATTTTAACAACAATTTATTTGATGCTATTGTTAATTCATCTCCTTGTCCACTTCTCGGGGATTTAAACGCCAAAAGTACTCTGTGGGGACATACAAATTCTAACCCTCGCGGTATTCATATTGAGTCTTAATATCGATAGTGGAATTATCTCTCTTTTGAATGACAACACACCCACCCATTACTATGTACGAAACAATGGTCTCTTCAAAAATATTCTTGATCTAGCGCTCATTGCGTCAAAGATTTTCAATGTTCTCTTCATTTAATGTAGCGTCTCGTTGGGCGAACGTAGGTCACATGCCAGTCTCAGTCGATGTTTGTTTTTCTCTCGACACCTCATTCTCTTCTATTATAAGGTCTTTCTCCGTCAAACATACTGACTGAGACGTTTTTAAGCGTGAATTATCGTGTCTAAGTCTCTCTTCCAAATTGTATCTAACTCAAACGGCACGGAATTGATAACTGATATGGTGACTAAGGCTATATCTCAAGCGTATGATACGGCTTCTTTTTCAAAAAATTTAACAAAATACCGTATAGCCATCCCGGCGTTTATTCGTGATTTAATATATGAAAAAAGAAGAGTTTTTCGAAAATATAAAAAAACAGGGCTATTTGAACATAAAGTTCATGTTCGTCGGCTGGATAATATCATACGAAAAGAGATGGTTTTTAGTAAAAGAGTTGAGTTGGTGTAAATTCTGTTCGAACACTAATAATGTAAACGATCTTTCTTTCTGGAAACGTATAAGAAAATGCATAAACCCTAAATCAACAACAGAAATATATGAATTAAAAAATACTGACGGCAAGCTAATCTTCTCGGTGACTCACTACAAAAGTCTTTTCTTCCTTCCTCCGAATATGATAAAGCCTTTTTCGACGATGTAGAGGAGCAAATAAACAAAACAATAATAAACTCCTCTGTTTCTTCTTCCTTCTCTAATTTCGACCTCCCTTTTTCGATTTTTGAAACCTCCTCTGCTTTGAAACAGACGAAATCTAAACTCTCCTCCGGAAATGACAACATCCCAGCTATCGCATTTTAACACTTTCCTCTCATCTTTCTGCCTATTCTGGCTTCTCTTTTTAACTTACTCTGGGTTTCGAGTACTTTCCCCGATGTCTGGAAAATACAAAAAATTAAAATGATATTAAAGAAGGATAAAATAAAAATTGATCCAAATAGCTACCGACCAATAAGTCTTCTTTGTAATCTTTCAAAATTATTCGAGCGCTTAATTTCACTAAGATTAATTTCATGGCTAATACATAACAACTTAATCCCCCTAGAACAGAGTGGATTCTGTAAAGGTCGTTGTACAGTTGACCAAACCTTAAATTTAATTCAACAAACTCAGTCTTCCTTTAACAAAAGCCAACGAACGGCAGGGATTGTCATTGATTTCGAGAAGGCTTTCGATAAGGTGTGGCGAAACGCCCTTCTGTTCAAATTGAAAAGTAAAAAGTGCCCTGAGCGTCTTTTTAAGATATTACTTTCCTATTTTAAAAACAGAAAATATTTCGTTCAAGTATCGAACACATCTTCAGAAATGTACGACTGCCTATACGGAACACCTCAAGGTGCAATTCTTTCTCCTCTTCTATTTAACTTCTTCATACACGACCTTCCTTCTTTCTGTTCCTCTACCGGTGTGCGTATTTCTCTTTATGCAGACGACATTGCCGCCTTTTGTTCGTGTTTTAACAACAAACAAGGTGAAAGATTGTTACAAATTTTTTGTGATAAACTATATGATTATTGTAAACGTTGGCGCCTTCAGATCAGCTACTCTAAAACTGTAAGCATGTTTTTCACTAAATGTCCAGCTGATCGAAACGCAGTTTTATCTTTGTATATGAATAACCATGCTCTAGAACAAGTAAAAATTTTTAAGTATTTCGGTTTCACGTTAGATCAATGTTTATCTTTCTCTTCTCATATTTAAGATGTATGTTTACGTGCTCGAAAGAGACTTGGTGCGTTAAAGAGTGTCTGTGGCAGCCGTTGGGAGCTTTACCCCCATACGGCTGTTTTTGTTTACAACACATTTGTTCATTCGCTTCTAATGTACTCTTCACCTACTCTTTTATGTATTTCTGAGTCCAGTTGGACGAAACTTCAATGTGTTCAAAATACGGCGCTCAAAATCTGTTACCGGCTTCCCCCTTGGTACCCTACTACCGAGCTTCATACTCTCTCTTTAGGTCAAATGCTAAAAATGTATACTCTAAAGCTCGCTTCATCTTTCATCACTCATGCTGTTTTATATAATAAACTTATTGTCTATATTGTTAATTTTTACCTCTCGCATGAGCGAAAACGTGAATTGAATCGTTTACTTCCGCGTTTAAACCCAATAAAAACAATTGTTTGTAAACTTTTAGAGCTGTAATTTGAACTAGAAATGTATGTCTTTTTTTCATGTACAAAAGTAGAAAAATAAATTTTCTTTTTCTTTTAATGTCAAAACAAAAATGTGTTAATCTCACTATCAATTTTACATTTTTCTTTTTATACTGCAGTGCAAGCGGACATCAGGTCCGAGCATTTCCTTTCACAATAAATCATCATCATCATGAATCATCAAATAGTGTATGTGTGTATTACATACGAAGTATTTTTTCTCTTCTATTTTCAACGACGATGAAATTATTGTTGTATGGAGTTTTTTGTGTTCTTTCTGCAGCAACTAAAAGCAATACCATGCTTCTTTTTATTGATCGTGTTTATTTTTGTACTTGGAAAAAACCAAGATTAATCATTGCCACACACAACGGAGCACGTTCTCAGACAGTTACATTTTCGTAGGAAAACAGTTGCACATCAAACTACCTTTCAATCTGAATTATATCGAACGAAAGGTGTACATTATTAATTGAGAATGGCAGAAAAGTTTTATACTGTATGGCTTGATTTTACGTACAAACATGGGTCGTCAAAAGACAGAAGTGTAATTCATCTATCTCTGTGCAAGATCGATCCATACTTGGTTACATTTCGGGAGACAGACAGATGTATTCATTATATTAAAAATCTGAACGAGAATGAGAATAAAGTAATTTTGATTATTTCAATTTCAAAAACGTCTCAGTATTTGAGAACATTTCTCCAAAGAATTGAAGAACTTCCGCAGGTCGACTCAGTCTACGTTCTATATTTAAATCAATGTCGTCTTACATGGACAGTTACTACTGTTGCTATAAAAATCCTTCTTACTACACATGCAATACTGTCGAGTAATATTTGGTACATGTCGAGCGAAAACAATTTTCCTTGGAGACCTGACGAAGGCCATACGCTCTGGTGGGAAGAACAAGATGAAATTTACTCTGCTGACACTATTGCAGCTACGATCTCACAAGCATCGACGGCAGTGGCCTGTAGGGTTTACACTAACCTAGAATTATTATGTGCTCATCTATGTCATCTACCACCATATTCACAGAGAAAACAAAGAGAGTGGCTTGATCATATGGATATAAACATTCTTTCGGAGACACGCGTCGATGACCTTTCTACATTATTGACCACTACCGCTTTTAATCAACTTTTATTATTAGAATCTACCACAGGCAAAATCAGTCGCCAAGAAGCTGAGTTCATGTATGCTTTACTTTCACGAGACATTTTGATTGACATTAAATCAACGGAAGAAGAGATTATTAAATATTTCCGTCAAAAGTGTGGCGATAATGATGCAGATATCAATATTGTCGACGAATTCGAAGAGTATTATGATCCAATCAATGTTATTTTCTGGTATACGCGTGATACATTTCTCTATCGTCTACTGAACAAGGCATTGAGAGAACAGGACATAGATACACTATATTTGCTACGGTACTTTATCAGAGATCTTCATTTACAGATCAGAAAACGACACAGCGCACAACAACAACAACAGTTAGCACTGGCAGCAGCATGCGTTATGAACGATAATACGACTACGATTAACACGAATAATGAACGAATCGCAACAGTTTATCGAGGGCAACTAATGAGTAACGTAGAATTTGATAGAAAAATTCGACATAACATTAATGGATACTTCTCCGTGAGCAGTTTTTTGTCGACAACTGTACACGAAAACTTGGCCCGTGAAATATATGCTGGTAATCGTAGCAACGGCAGTAGTGATACAACTGCTGTAGAACAAAGTATTTTGTTTCGAATCGATATTGATCTACACATCAATAAATTTCCCTATGCAAATATTTCTGCAGAAAGTGCATTTGATGATGTAGAAGGGGAAATTCTATTTACAATGGGATCCGTGTTTAGAATAGTATCAGTACATCTCAACGAAGACGGTGATTACTGGAATGTCATACTAAAACTAACAGACGAAGAAGATAAAGAACTTCGAATACTACGTGAATTTATAAAAAGCGATACAGTGGAACCGAATCCGCTCGAAAGCTTAGTAAGATTATTGATAGGAATGGGCAGAAATAAAGAAGCTGAACGGTACTGTTTGACATTACTGGACAATCTGACATTCACATGCAATTTGATTGATCTCGCCAGTGTTTTCAACAATCTTGGATTCATCTACCAAGCATTGAGTCAATATAAGAAAGCGATCGAATATTTTGAAAGAACACTTGAAATTATGCTAAAATACTCGCTTGAAACGGAGACTTCTGCAGCAACTGTGTACAACAATTTAGGAAGCATTTATAACGATCAAGGCGAATATGATGAATCGTACACATACTACACGAAAGCAGTAGAAACTGAACTCAATATGACCAGTCCGAATCAACGAGCTATTGCAACTTACTATAGTAACATTGGAAACGTTTGCAATGTACAAAAACGTTATACTGAAGCAATAGAAATGTTGGAAAAATCTGTTGAAATTAGACTGAAAGTTTTGCCTGCTAATCATCCGGATATGGGAACATCCCTTATTAATATTTCACAAGTCTTCAATGCACTCGGCCAGTACGAGAAGGCAATCAATTACTTGAAGAAAGCATTTGAAAATAACTTCAATTCACTTCCACCCGATCATCCATCATTGTCCATTATACGTAACAATTTAGGACAATTGTATCATAGACAAGGGAAATTCAAAGAAGCTCGTGAAATGTATGAAAGATCACTTGAAATTCAACTTAAAGTTTTTCCGGCTGATCACCCTGATATTGCATGGACATACAACAACATTGCTGCAATGTATGGAGGGGATGGGGACTCTACTGAAGCATTGGAATATTACCATAAAGCACTTCAAATTGAACTACATTCGCTTCCATTGAATCATCCAGATATAGCAGCAACTTATAACAATCTGGCTTCACTATTGCAAGAACGGGGTAATTGTGAAGAAGCACTAATGTTGTATGAAAAAGCTCTACAAATTTGGTTAATAGCTCTTTCGTCTAATCATCCTCAAGTTGCATTATGCTACAGTAACATTTCATCAATTTACTCGGAAAAGGGTAACGATGATAAATCAATGGAATATTTAAACAAAGCGCTTCAAATACAAATGACTTCAAATGGTCCTGAAGATCATCCAGATTTTGCACCAATTTATCGCAATTTGGGAAGGGCATATTACGCACAAGCTAAATTTCAAAATGCGTTAGAAATGTTTGAAAAAGCTCTAGAAATCTGGGTAAAAGTTCTTACGACTAATCACATGACGCTTGCACTGTTGTACGCTGACATTTCGTTAGTCTACGACTCGCTTGGCGAATACGACCAAGCACTTGAGTATTTAAAGAAATCTCTTGAAACATCCCAGGATTCTTGTTCAGAAATCTGTTCTGGTTTCGCAGCCAAATGTAATCAACTTGGTACAGTATATTATAAACAAGGTAAAATCGAAGAGGCACTAGAATTGTATGAGAAATCTCTAGAAATTCAATTGAAAGTTCTTCGTCAAGATCATCCTAACCTTGGAGCATGTTACGGTAATATATCGCAAGTACATTCTGCTCGTGGTGATTACGATAAGGCAATTGAATATTTAAACCAATCACTTGGAATTCAACTAAATAGTCTTCATCCAAGTCATCCATCCTTAGCTGTAACCTACAATAATTTTGGGCTCGTATATTATAACAAAGGACAACTGGAAATAGCATTAGAATTCTATGATAGATCTCTTGAGATCCAATTAAATGTTCTTTCTTCTAACCATCCTGATCTTGCCACAACTTACAATAACATTTCATTAGTTTATTGTGCCTGTCGTGACTATGAAAAAGCAGCTGAGTATTTGAACAAAACGCTTCAAATCAAATTAAGTTCTCTTTCATCCGATCATCTTGAAGTAGCTACAACTTATTCTAACTTAGCAGCAGCCTTGTACGGGCAAGATAACATGACAGAAGCCTTGCATTGTGTACAGAGAGCATATGATATTCATATCAAAATTCTTCCATCAGATCATCCTGAACTTCTTCGCAATATAAACTGGATTAAGCGTATTGAAGATGAATTAGTTTCAACGCAACAAAACGTCGATTGATGTGGAAGGATGGGGGATAGTTTGTCCACAAATCGGCCCTAATAGAATTTGTGCTCTGAGTCTCAAGTGTTCATGTGCCATGACAGATCTCGACGAGCTGAGCATTTTTTGTCACGGCACTTGGTCTCCAAAACTCTTCCTGCGAAAGTTCTATCCTTCTAATTAGATGCGTAAAATTGTTGTACACGACGACACCATTTTATATCCACTAGATCTCAACTGTTTGATGAGTAAATGCAGACAGCTTTTGTGCCATGGATAGCTCTGGAGACACGCTACAAAATCATGCTTAGATACGGTCTAAAATATGCTGCGTTTGGGTAGCCGCTCTAATCTACACTGACAGAATTCGATCAGGTCGCTGTCGTGTAATGAAATTGTTTGACACATGAGCGTGACTATCCAGGCTACCACGGATCCAATCTCGTCACTGTTGGTACGGCTGAGTGATACAGAGTCGGGTGTTAACGTATTCCAGTATCCCATGCTAGGCAATGTCCTTCGTTCGTACGAACACGAATATGGGAAAATCAATCGAGTCGATCACAGAATGATACTCTGGTTTTCAATGCTCCGAAAACGCCGGACCTGTGGCAAGGTTGAGAAAATGCATACTACATTTGCGTGGAACACGATACTGTGATTATAGGAGTACATAATGCAGGGCTACGGTTTTTCTGTATACCCCGAAAATAAATACTTGCACATGATATTTTGAATTTAACTCGGTCAAATCTCGACGAAAATCGAATATGAAACCAGATTCCGATAGCCCGTGCAATTCTCTATCGGAGAATTTCCCCATCATCCCTCCAGCATCTGTGTGAAGGAAATGCGGTAAAGTATATCAAAAGTTGTATGACCATCCATTTCCCGCGGTTTATGTCATTTTTGCCTTTTCTTGACATTTTTCAGATTTTTCCGTACTGAAGCAATTCATTTCGAAAAACCAGCAATTGATTCCGATAGAGCATCGAAGGCTCTATCGGACGGCACACTTGCCCATTTTCTTACTTCTTTCTGTCGAGAAGAAATTCAAGCGAAACAAAAACATACCAAAATGACAAGTGCGTAAAAAACCGTGTTTTTCAGTTCTCTCGCCATCCTTTCTTTGCTGTCGATTTTCTACGAGAAACTTTTAATCCCAGCTGGTAGTTGATCTGATAGCGCATCGAATCCTCTGCCATCTAAGATTCAAACATCTGCTCTCACATCTATATACCACATCGACTAACATTCTAATATCCCCGTGAGCATCTTGCCCAGAAAACGGTGGTAGAATATAAATCATTCATGCGCTTCTGTGGTATGAACCCATCTTGGCCGGTCGTGAATGAAATGATATTGCTTAATGGAACGTAAGTGCGTTCTGTATGCGGTCTGCAGATATTGAACGAATGTCGATGTGTTGATTCTATCATGAATAAACACTAAATCTGATCGACTGTTGCACCATATGGCACCGAAGACAGCAACCGAGTACTTGAGTTGACTCTGGAACAGAGTGGGTCTCGAACGGTTCATTAGAATCCAATAAACAAGACCGAAAACATCAACTTCAAATAAATTTTCGTCACTAAAAGTCACACGTCACCAATCATTGTGAATATTTGCTTGTCAAAAACCCAATCGTTGCTCTGCATAGGCATGTACCGAGACAGAGAGGTAGTTGATGAAGATGTGTTTTTTTCTCTGGCAGTGACCTCCGAGACATTACGAGATTTGTGTCGCAAACTCCTCAGCTTGGTCTCCTCCAGTTGTAGGCTCCACCGGCCAGGCCGGTCCAAATGGAAAAAGGTCAAGTGTCGATCGGTCTCGGTCAGAATTCTCATTTTTCAAGTTTTTGACCGAAGTCGACGGACACTTGACCTTTTTCCATATGGACCG